CTCTAGATGCTATGTACTCATGACAAACTGTAAGGATCGATTATTGAAAATGTGATATTCACTTTTGTAAAACTACTACAGTACAGTACTGTATTTCTTTTTTTTTGCAAATACAGCACAGTAAATATATTTCAGTTAAAACTCTGACTAAACTACCACAATAAAAAAATATTAAAAAATTGCCAATATTTTCCTGAAGTCCACATCAGTTTGTCACGATCATACATCATGACTACATCAATACGTGAAGCACTGATCATTTATAATAAACGTTTCTCATTGATTTGCCAAAGTTTAAATATATTATTAGTTGTACACCTTCCACTCTTGTTCCTTACTGCTGAAGGTTTTTACTATGTTTATGACTGTACCTGTACCAAGTGCAGTAGACCACTTGGCTAATTTTTTGCAAATGATCCTGACCTTTAATTGTGTGACGCCACAAGTATATGTATAGTCTGCCAAAGATGCATCGACCCTACCCTGGCTCTCATGCTCGTAATTTTACCTGGCAATACTTGGTGAAGTAAGGCTGTATGGAATAGGGATTGTGATTGGTAGATCTATTTTTGGCTGTATAACAGTCAGGATAAATATTAAACAATTCAAAGGTAGTTTTATAATAATAAACTATCTATTATTATTATACTGTACAGTACTATAATTTGTTCCATTGTTGAAGATGTTAAATTATTTTTGATGAATCGTACAGTATAAGAGTCTGATTATATGAGAATATATAATGATGACCATAAAAAAACCCAGGTCTAAAGACAGAGTACAAGACAGTGCCCTGATCCCACCCAGCCTCACACTTGGTCATATATGCAGCATCTTTTCTCCCATTGCTTGTGACTCCTCTGATTTTACCCATTTTCTTAAAACCCCCATCTTTCCCTGTCATAGCAATTAGTCCACATAAAAAGTTCAGCATCATTTAAAGGTTAAAGGGTAAAAAGTCTCCAAGCATCTTTAAGCTTCAACAGATTTTTTTCCTTGTAAGTCATGCAATCATTTCCACTTCCTAGCTTTTTATTAAATGGAGTGAATATTGTTGTCATCCAAACATATCTAGTACTCATTCACTAGTCCACTTCTAAAACATCAGAAATATTTAATATTTATTTTGTAGCTGACCTTCAGATAGTCGCAGAGAGACCCTCGTTCATGATAAGCAGTAATAAGCCAAAATTCTGCTTGATAATTATCTCCATGCTTTTCTGCCCCAATGAACTGCAGCACATTTTCATGGGACATCTGAGGAAGTGAGTACACTTCTTTCTCAACCAACCAAGACTGCTTGTCCTAAAAAAAAAAAAAAAAGGCAAATTAGATGTACAATTAAGATATGGTATGCAGTGACAAGTTTCATAATTTGTACATGTTTATAATACACCCACCTCTCGTTTTACACAGAGGTTACATTCTTGAAAACCACTGCTTAATTAAAAAATGCGTAAATTAAACAATTTTCCCATAAGAATACTGTAGTACATGTAAATGGTACAGGTTAAGGGAACCATCATATACTGCACAGGGTACGAACAGTGCTCTCACTTAAACCAAGCACGTGGCCAACCTCCAACACACGCTCTCCTCTCTGAAGGCAGGTGATCACATTTAACTTCACGTCCATTGCGATTGTTTTTCGTGCCTTTTTAGCTTTAGGCGCCCCAGAGGAGGCAGATGGACATTTTCCAGACATGCCCAATGGCGAAAACAGCGTTTAACACTAAAAAGGTACGTGATAAACACACAATGCAAATGAGAGCAGAGGAAAAAATAGTGCTGGTGTGAACTGAGAAAGTGATTCGCAGCAAGCTTGCTGGACGTCATCACAGTTGTTGTGCAGAATATTTCATTATCATCATTATCTTCATCATTAGTAGTAATAATCTTTATTATTACATTATTATAATAATTATTATTATTAATTATACAGGTAATATTAAAATTGTTGATGTTGATATGATTGTGACTTTATACAGTACAGTAGTAATAACTTACAAGCACCTCACCGGGCATCACACGCGAATACGCGCAGCAAATTTAAACTGTCTTGAGCGCGTTATTTCAAAAATAGGTAAACGTAAATTAGCTTTTGGCATAAATTGAACAATCGTGTTATTCCAAAAACGCTTTAATCAAACGTGCATAAAATGCGAGTTACCTGTATATTGTAACCACATACACATCTAAACTAGAAAACATTTAACTACTCATTTTCTGAAGCTGATGTCTCTCCTACTGATGAGAAAGAGGAACTAATGTACTATGTTGCTGTTCTTAAGACAGTAAACAGATCTGGGTATACCATGACAAGAAATGTTCCTAATTATTCCTGTTAGTCCAAGATCCTTAAATGAGTAAACAGCTCTGACTGTATCATATTAGCCCTTTGATTGAGTCACCAGATTTCAATGACATTTTCCTGATGGTGTGAATGTGTCATCAAATATTCAAATTAGTAGTAATAACTCTCTTTGTTCTTCTCCAACACAGGAAGACAATAATATTCCATATCTAGCAATTACATCCCATATAAACAGTATTAGATGACTGCAAACAAATTTAAGATAGAAATTAAGAAAAATCAGAAAAAATATTTTTTCATAACAGGAGTACCTTGATACACCAGACTGTACTATGTTAGTTAACACTGATGTGCATTATACACTTACCATCCTATTACAGACTTATGTACACTCGGTAAAAAAAAAACTACCGTACAGGTGGGGTCCAATGATTTTCCAACTGAACATTCCTGTTGTCTTGCAAGGGTTGGTAGGCCTGAATGTGAGACATTTCGTTGACAATATTGAATTACTTTGTTACAATATGACTGGAGAATGTCATTATATATCTAGATAAGTTAAACTGTATGCTATATTAAATGTTCCACACACCGTGGACTACAGTAACCATGGAAGTGGATGAGATACCATATAGGAATGCATTATATGTTTGGCAGAATTAGTGGATATAGTAAAGGTAAAAGATTATTTTGCAAACGAATTTTGAATCTGTATTTGTATTGCTACTTCCAGTTTGGGCTAATGCCACATTATGTCAATCATTTTTCGTATTGGAAAATAAACCATGCTTGTCTGAAACATCTGAACAGCTCCACAGTTCATATTATAATATACACATTCCTTATGTAAGATATCAGGAAATGTTGGTAGCACTAATTAAGTAAATCACAATATTAGGCTGCTACAACGCCGCTCACAATGTGTATTCGACATGGAGAAATGAGGCATAGAGTTCCCATCAAATTTCAAATTGCGTTAGTGTGGCAGCACTAACTCTGACTCGCTTCAGAATGCCGATCACTTGTTTCGAACACGTGTGACCAAACCCACACACGCGCAGGACTACTACCGCGAGGAATGCCTCAGGAGCCTTTTTGAAACATTTAGTTTGTAGGTCAGTCTGTTTCGCGCAGAAATTGTAACGATAGTTTTTTTACTGAGCGTATCTCCCACCACTTTCACAAGAGAAAATTCATTAAGATTAAACCTGAAAACTTGTCTAGACCTGAAATATGTAAAGCACATACAGTTGAAGTTAGTAAAGAGCAATCCTTGAAGTTTCTCACCTGTACTGGGAAAATTTTGACAGCAACAACATCTGTGTGGAGATTGGCCTTCCAAACAGCACCAAATCTCCCACGTGCCTTGATTTCACGCAGTTGTATAGGTCGTACACACAATGGTGGAGAAGGAGGAACTAGTGCTGCTGATTCCACTCTTGGCAACTCCATAAAGTTGGCCTGAAGAAAGAACACATTTATTATGATGTTCAATATTTTTTGTTGTCACTCTTTAAAGCTTTCTCTGACTACAGTATAATGCAATGTGGTCCGAATCATGCAAATACATTGTGATTCTACCTAAACTCACTTTTACTACTGTAGATTTGTTCTTCTCTTCTCCTTCTACAGCATGGCTCCAGATATCTATCTGTTCTCGTCTCTTCCTTTACATAACCTATCATTACCCATCAGCAGCAAGTCCATCTCTAAAACCAGTCAACACCTTGCTCTCTGATCATTCACTCAACACAGCTTGGATTTTGTCCCCTTTACTTCTAGTACATCTTTCATCCCATCCTCCCTTCTCTCTCCTACCACCCACCTGATGTAAACACCTTTACCAACCTTTCAATTCCCTTTGTCTGAATATGTACACACTCCAAAAATGAACCAGGATCCGCTCTCTGCAATTACTGTACAGTATGACGACAGTGCAAATCTTGACGTAATACTACTTACACTGGGATCCAGTTCCTCTCTTCCCAAGTTTACTTTCCTTGTTAAATGTAATTTTCTTAGATATTATATATCTTAAACCATTCTTTCATTATATAAGTGGTGGTTCTCATACAAATAAGGCAGTGAGTATGATTTCTTATCATGTGGTATAATAAAGAAGTTTCATGAGCTCATTTCATAATGAATTTAATTCTTTACAGCAACTAATTTCGTATGAGGGTAATATAAGGTAGTACTACAGTTAACTTCTCTATTTTAACTATACCCTGGTATGTGATATAAAGGATATACAGTATCATATTTGTTCCACAATATTTCACAAAATCAGAAATACCAACCCTACCAAATGAGCATGACTTCAGCCCCGTTAATCCTTTTGAGGCCATCAGACCAGGGGTGAAGATCCTTTTTTTGCTGATTAGACTCAAATTACATTAGTTTACATGAGGATGGGTTAAACCACTACAGGTTTTATCAATGCTGCTTCACATATTTCCCTTATATTATTCTTCCTAAAAGCTCCCTCAATATCTATATGTTCTCTGGTATCTCAGCTTCATTTACTCATCCTGATGAAGAGTAAAGTACCTGTCTTGCAATCCCTCATTCATCCACCACTATTCCATATTGACTACTGTTTCAGAAAAAAAGTCATCTTGCTTTCTTTTGATCTAAATTCGATTTTATTTTCACTGACATAGTAGCTTCTTCATGTGTTTTAAATATTTTAGAAAATTCTAATGTGCTGTATACAGTACTGTATAGTCATAGAAACACAAACATCATCCCTACTGTACTGTACATGTACTCCCATATTACATTCAAACATCTCTAAACAATGCCAATTACCCTTACATATGTAGTGACGGTACTTTGGAGAAACTCATAACAAAAAACAATTAACACACTAGAGCTATAATTTCCCAATGCTTTAACTGACAAATTATTTCACAACTTTCATTTCATTCCTGTGATATACTTTTTCTCTGAATAAGCATGTCAAGTATAAACCTCATTCTAATTTCTTCATTCAGATACATTTCACCAAATCATCATTAAAATATGAGAAATTTTTTTGCAATTTACTTACCATTTTTCGTCGACGGTAGAGGTAGAAGAGCAAGGTAACGATGACCACAACACAGATAAGTGTGCCCAATGTCCAAGCAACGGTTTTGACAACAACATCTTGGTCTTGAGGTGTGGCTGTTGGCCATATTGACAAGATTAATTTGGACAGACAAATCATTTTTATGAGGTGGATATACTGTATATACAGTACAGTAGACTCACAACTTACGCCAATTTTTCTTACGTGGTTTCAACTATACGTGAATTACCCCGGGGGTTAGGTGATGGGTTTGAAGACATGGTCGAGCAGGAAATTGAGGAGTTAATTGAAGGGCACAGGAAAACTCTGACTGATGCTGCGTTGGAGGAAATAGTGAGAGTGGACGAAGAAGGCGGCAGTGGCGATGATGATGAAGAACAAGAAGAGCCAGCATGTTGGGATTTACACTTGAAAAACTTAGTGTCTGAGTATGACCCCTATATGAAGCGCAGCACCAACTTCTCACGAGGTCTTACAAGCATTATGGCTAAGTATAAGAATATGTTCCAGCAGCTTAAGAAACAACAAAGACAGTTTCCCATCACCATGTTCTTTAAGAAAACCTCAGCATCAACATCGTCAGCAGATCAGCCAATACCTACAACTTCTGGCAGTGACCTTGAGCTGCCCACATCCTCCCCTGCATCGTTATCTGAGCTTGACGATGAATAATTTCAAAACAACACATGTCTGTCTACAGAATGTCTGTGTTCTATTAATGCTGTTTAGCACTTGTTACAGATGTTGATATTACATTACAGTAGTGATTTATGAGTTCTAGTGTATATATAGTGATTTAAGAGCAATTTAGGGAATTTTTAGGAGTGTTTCTGACTTTATGCGGGGTCCCAGGAATGTAACCCCCGCGTAAGTTGCGAGTCTACTGTACAGTGTAAACTGAAGCAATATCTGTAACTGATCTTATACTATTCCATGCACCAATTTAAGATGTACAATGAAAGACAAAAGTCATGTCGTGAAATTTGGTGAAAACATATGCCGAAGGGCTAAAGTTTTGGTGTGCTCTGCCTTGTGGTAGGGGGCTCTCATATGTTTAACGAGTTATGTTTAATCTTCAGACAAAACCGCGACAAGACATTTGTCTTTGATTGTACATGTGATATCAAAGTGTGGAAATGCAATATAAATTCTTACACAGTGTACAGTATTGGACTGTCAAGATGGACTGCTTGACCCCTTCTGGCAACCCCAGAGTGGGGTAAATGCAATAACAATACAGTGCCTGTACAGGCCAGTAATGGAACAAGGATTCCCTGAATTGTTATCTGGTGATTTATAAATTTTCAAATCAGAGTTTGTACTGAATGTGAATGACTAAAGGTTGCACTTCTGTAAGAACTTGAGTAAAAACAAGGGAAGTTAATTTGTTCCCCAAATCCTGCTTTGCTTTCAAAATGTACTGACTTGAATTTATCGAGACCTTACCAGTAATCATGTTAAGAAAAACTGTATTACAGGTACAGTATTAAACTAAAGTAGACTAGAAAACCAGACAAGATTAAAATATGTCAACAAAATCAATTATAATTCTCACTTGGTGTGGTACTAGGGACTTCTGGCAGTGGCCGCCAAAAGAAGTTATGGTTGCAGTTGTTGTGATTGCAGCAACAAAATAAGTGTTTTTTGTTTTCTGTCAAGCTACTTGCTGGCTGGTCGTTGATGCATTCATCTGAACAGGTATTATCATTCAACCAGCAACCTTTGTATGTAATCTCCACCTGTAACAATTAAAAATATGTGATGTACTCTATTACTTTAGGTTATTTATACCTTTTTACACACTGAAATTCTGTCTACCTTAAGTTCTTCAGTATCATCTAACAAATCCTCTTTTTTCACAATTCCTAATTTCCCTCTCTACACATACTGTACTGTACTGCTCCACTTGTTAATCAGAGTATATGCATTGACCATTGCTTACAATTATGTGTAACAAAACACAAAATTACCTACCTTGCCCGAGTTATTAGTCCAAACAACAAAACACTGGTTTATCTTCTCTGGGTTATTCCATACTTCACAAGTCTCCGTCATCTTCCCTGAGCAAAGAAGTGGCTGGGGACCCTCGTTTGAACATTGTGTAGTGTTGTATTGTTCACAATGGGAAACTTTGGGTGGATGATTTTCTGCTGGCCGTGCAACACCCTCTGTAAAAATTAATACATTAATACTCTCTTAAAATTCGTAGCCAATTAAACCTCAAACGTAAAATTATTTCAGACAAGTTTAAAGTACTTGTTGCAGTTTAACATGCCATTATCCCCATTTGTTGGGCGATACACGAATGTTATAAATACTGTACTACAGGTATGTACATAACATACAGGAGACCACTGGTCTTCACAGGGATTATATTCCTGAGATCATCGTGAATGGTGAAACAACAAATACAGTAAATCCTCCAACTATGTTGTGAATGTACTCCTACAAAACATGACAATTGGCAAAACAAGATAAATTTATATGTATTTTCCCCCAAAGACTTATTATATAAATGGGGGATACATTCCTGGGAGGTGCATATTTTTCGCCATACTTGCCAGAAAAAAAATAAAAATTAAAAACTACCTAAAGATACAGTATTGTAGCATACAGTACACTCATACTAAAATATTAGCATATTTAAAATTTGCAGTTTCAAATATTTGTGAAACAATAAAATATTCATAATCTGAAAGGTCTTATGGGTTGTTTAAAACTGCGGGCACCAATACAACCAACAAAATACAGTACGTACTGTATTGTGCATTACTCCGCCAGCTTCCCACACTATCATCAAAGTTTAAAGTTGGTCTTCTCTTATACTATAAACAGTATTATGCATAATTTCTTTACATGAACATATATTTATTTATTGTGTAAATAATGTCACAGTAAGTATAGCTCATTAAATTGCATTCAATTAGCTTATGTTTTCTTCATTAATATTAATTATTTCAATACCTTTCATTATTTATTTCTACTAATTTACACTTTTATACACAAATCATGTACAGTATACAGTATGTTTACTGCACAATGCATTATATCTTACATAAAGGCTAATTTCTGTATTTTTCAATATCTATTTACAGTACTGCAGTAACACATACAGATGCTATTTAAAGGGATATATATGAAAAGGAGCACTGTATTTAATTCACTTTTTATTTATTGCATATAAATACAGTACTGTACATGTAAGCGCACTGCATAAACAGAGGCTAATTACTTTACAATAAAGACATTTGCGGACTTTTAGATACGCAGCCATTTCTACAAGATATCCCCCACGAATATTCAAGGATGAGCGTACGCATATATGAAAGAAAATTATGGTTACGTACAAAATATGGGGTTATCAAGTTGTATGAAAAATTTTATTGTCTTTATAATATACAAGATAATTATATTTCAACATTTTGTTTAATGTGTACTCTGAGATGGTTAAGGAATGGATGGTCTCCAGTAATAGGTGCAACTTTAGCCTGTCACTTGACAATTTTGTCACCAAACTTACTGAAAATTATTTATGTTCTTTACTGTACATCAATTTTCAGTATTGCAGTAATCCCTCGCCAACAGCATTTTTGGGTATCCATTTCTTATATTTTGTACATTGCATTATCAACCACAGTATCCAGTTTTGAGCATCTGCAGTTTCCAGGGGATTTTTAGCCAAGTATCTTGGGAATATTCGCTGTATCAGGTCTATCAGGTGGTTCATCTTGTTCCCTTCATCATATTGTAAATTATCTGTCAACTGAAAACTTTAGGACCAAGAGGTTTCCATAATAATGATAATAATGTCCAAAGAAAATATGTAATAAACCATAGTACGATACTTGTGTTAGTTTGATTATACTGTACAGGGTATCATTACTTTCTGCAATTACCTGTACACTAACTTCATTATTCTCTTAAATTCTCAATGTTATCATATCTACAAATAAGCTTTCAATGTGTCATCATTCACCTACAATTACCATACCGTATACGTACTGTATAAGTACTGTACTGTAAATTATTCCTCAAACTCACATGAAGACAAGTAGACTTGTCACTCAAACCACCACACAGTCACTGAGCCGGTTGCCCGATTGTTCAATTTCTCCTTATTTACTCTTATAATTCTGTATATGAAAAATGAATGAAAAATAAAATTATTCTATTTTCCTAAATTTCATATTTAGTAGGCTCAAATCAATAGAATTGATTATTATATAAAACAGATTTTCTGTTGACAGATACTTTACTGTCTATGTTCCTCAAACAAGAGACCTAATAGTTGTTGCCATTCAGTGATGACCCCCCCCCCCCCCCAAAAAAACAAGGATTCATTCAGCTGATCGCCACCATCCACGCTATGACGCATTTATCCCTCTCTTCATTTTTACTTCGTTTTTACCATTGTTTAGAAATGGTATGGAAGTTATAATATCAAGATATGCTTTGTAAATGTGTGCTATTTATCATAATGCATAAATAAAGATACAATATGATAATATACGACACACCTGACATTTATTTGGAAGTTGATAGTATGCGGCTGCATAGTGTACAGTACATATATATCTGGACAATCACTTTAGAGGATATGAAAGATACCATAAAGATATATAGGCATGAACCTTTGACCTCTCTTATTCTTAGTGTGTGTGTGTGTGTGTGTGTGTGTGTGTGTGTGTGTGTGTGTGTGTGTGTGTGTGTGTGTGTGTGTGTGTGTGTGTGTTCGTGTGTGTGTGTGTGTCGTGTGTGTGTGTGTGTGTGTGTGTGTGTGTGTGTGTGTGTGTGTGTGTGTGTGTGTGTGTGTGTGTGTGTGTGTGTGTGTGTGTGTGTCTAGTAAAAGAAATTGTTTGTCATTGATACTTTTGAAAATAAAACAATATGAAGTCCCACACTTTTTGTGGTTGACCCTGTATAATGGCTGTCTATGGGTAAAAGTGTTTCTTTATACGTAATTTTGAGATGAGTACAACTTCTCAGGAAATCACATATTTTGTAAAAAGAAGGACAGCATCTGCATTATTGGCAAAGCAGCAAACACCAGCACCCATATAGCCCTTGAATTACCAGACAAGCTCAAGGCTATTATCAAGCAAGGAAATTACCCTTCCCAGTAAAACTTCAATGAGAACTAGACAGGCCTTTTTGAAATACACGTCATCATGGGCTTTCATCACCAGAAAAGAATGGCGTGTATCAGGGTTCAAGGCAACCAAAGACCACCTTATGATTCTGATGGGTGGTTACATACAGTGGAGTATTTTGAGCTAAAACACATGTTTATCCACCAAGCAGAAGTATCGCCCCCCCAAGATATGAAAAAGTTTTCTAAGGAGCACCTGTCTGTCATCTCAAAGGTAAACAAAAAGACCTTGGATGAAAATTGACATCTTCCAGTAATGAGTTCATGTCAAGATTTTGGCCAGGTGTGAAGCATTACTGTGAGGAAAATGGCTTAGAGCCCAGAGAGTTTCTGCTGTTCGACAATGCCCCAGATCACCCAGAAAACCTTGATACCCTCTGGACTTCACTACCTGTGGAAGTGGCATACGTGCCACCAAGCATGACTTCCCTTCCTCAGGCTATGGAGTGGGGAAACATTGTCAACTTCATGGCTTACATTCCTAAGGCTGGTCGTGGCATTAGATCATCATGATGAGCAGTTAATTAGGGACTTCTGTCCTACATCATGAAAGCCACCAGAAACATCGGTGCAGCATGGGTAGAAGTCACGAGCAATTGTAAGAATATCATAAGGAGTAAGTGAACAACTTCATTATTCAAGCAGGTGTTGAAGGCAAATACTACAGTTCTGAGAATACGGGCACATGAAGGGATGGATATAATATTAAAAAAAACCTGCAGTTTCACCAGAGAATAAGCCACAACCTGGCCCATCTTATCAAGAGTAGCTGCTCCCACCTCTTCACCTGTTGGAGGAGTTGGAGCATAGTCGGAGTGACAGCAGTTAGAAGTCAATATTATACAAGCTCCGACTGAATGCACAGATGAGTACAGTGGGGTATGCTATAACGAATCTAATTGGTTCTAGAACCTTGTTCGTTATAGCAATCGTTTGTTATAGGATTAATCCGTTGCTGGCCCCCAAATACAACCACTTAACACTGAAAAATATAATATAAAATTGTAAAAATTGTAAAAAAGTGCATAAATATGCATCTAAACCCCCGAAATAAAGAATATCATTAATATTTGTAATAATAAAACAATAAATTAGAAAAAAAAAAAAATATTAAATTATGTTCGTTGTAGGAGTTTCGTTCGTTATAGCATTCTCAATTTTATAGGTAAAACCGTTCGTTATAGGAATATTCGTAGTAGGATCCGTTCGTTATAGCATACCCCACTGTATATATATTTTGTTTCCTTAAATCAATTTGCTCTAAGGATTGCTGGTTCAATTGGAAGGCACTCCAATATCATAAACTTTACAAAATCAGAGAGGTGAAGGTGGCCAAGTGTAGTCATTAAACTTTAAAAATTAGTAAAAAAAAGTTTTCAAGATAATTGCGTTAATTTCTGTGCATCATATATGATTGCATGATCTTGTGAGGGAAGCTTCCAGAAAGAACAAAAATGTGTGTGAAGTTCTACTGTCCATCAGTTTCCTCCCATCAGCAGTGCTGGTAGTTTGTGTTTGTCCCTTTATCTCCCCCCCCCCCACCTCTCTATTACTTCTACAAAAATGCCAAAGTCACCGTTGGAAGCTTCATAAAAATACACTTCAATAACTACTGTATTTATATAAGACCTTGGTAGGTTTGTGAGAAAATATCCGAGGTACGACGCTGGGAAAAAAAAATATTCGGAGTGACAAAAATATGGTCTTATTATGATCTTAAGGTTTTTCTGCTTATCTTAAAGCCAAAACTATAATGAAGCCAGTGATGTATAAATCATGCAAAACAATAAAAAATAAAAAATCTTGTGGGATAAATTGGCTGCAGAACATGTATAACCAGGCCTCACAGCAGTGGTCTCCTATGACTTTTGTTGTGATCACAAAATTTACAAACTTATTGCATGCACGAGAGGGTTAACAAATGTTGTCCTCATATATAAATCACACATGAAATAATACTGTCAGCAATGCCTCTCCATATAAACTATGTTACACTGACCCCAATTTGCAATGATCCAATTAGTGCTTGATGATGATGATGATGGTAGTGGTGGTGGTGGCAGCAGTGGTGAGGCAAATGTTTCAGCTTCTACACCATCATCCTCCCAGTAACTCCATCTACCACCATCCTGCCTCACCATCACCCTAAGCACCGACCACTAAAGTTTCACGGAAGTTGAATATATATTCTAATATGGATTAAATAAACTTGATGTTGTACTGTACTACTGAACTCAGAAGTATTGTTTCTCAACAAGAGAAATTGCTTGAAAATGTGTATTTTTATTTTATTTTATTTATTTTTTATATTAAGAACATAATTACAGGTATCTCCCTTTGTATAATGGTAGTCAATGGTAAAAATGGCTTCGATTTACACAAGGTTTTTCAGGAAAGTATCCCCTTTCTAAGTCAAAGCACTCCTGTACTATACATATTCAGCAGAGAAAACTATTAAAGGGGTGAATGATTGTCCCTTGCATTTTCAATTACAGTTTACCCCCTTGTACATAAATACGGTATGTTTGCTATTGTCGTACCTTACATTTATATTTACCATGTAGGATTTCAAGGGTGGAGGGCACTTTGAAAATTCTAAATCTAAGAGGGTAAAGTAAAATTTAAAATGGTGGTGTGGGGGGGGTAGGGAGCATATGCCCAAACATGGATGCTTCCCCTCCCATTAAAAGGATGACTAACAAGTATGCAGCACTTTCTCATTGCGCACTAATTAGCATTAATAGAAGTCTACACCTTTTGCATAAAGTCAAAGATGGAGTCTCCTGAGAACATCCAGACACTTCACATAACTGAGTGAAAATATATCACTGTGACAGACCCTAAGCTTCTTTAGACCCGTTACTTGGTAATTACAAATATATCACAGTCTATTACAATAGCTATAGGGAGTAGCAATACTTTCAGAAGTAGTCCTCTCTATTGTCTATGCTAGGGAAAAGATAATTTAATTGTCAAGGAGTTGCCTACTGCAGTGAGTTCCTAAACTGCTTATTAATATCAATATCATCACTCTTGACCTTAGTTATAATGTGATTCAGTTAGAACTGTACACAAGAAATGAAAGGGTGCTTTTCAAGTTTGGTAGATTTACGTAGTTAACCCTAAAGTCTTTTAGTGGAAGATTCATGCATTGTTTTGTAACAAATACTTCAAATATATTAATCACCTACAGTAGGGTATGAGCAGAAGGAGCAATTTGCAGAGCTTACTTTGTTAAAACAGGTAGCTAGCAACTGGATATACAGCATCCACATTTCTCTCTCTTCATGATTGAGTTTAGCTCATTAGTGTAAACCCCCATAGCTACATATAAGGTAAAAACAAGATTCCTCTTAGACAAATCTCATCTGAACATCCCTGAGTGTTACCCCACTACACACTAAACTGTTCCTGTTTATGCCAATAACTTAAAACTTAATATTGTGGCACCTTTCTGTCCATCTGCTTAGACCAAATAACAAATAATTTCCAAGTGTCAAATGTCAAGTGTCTTCCTGGCATCAAGGATTTCAACTACTGAACTGTAGTTATAGCCATGACCCTCACCCTCTTTTTCGTAACAAATGCAGAATTAAGATTAAAATCTAAATAAAGAAATACATAATTAAATAAAATAAAAGTCTTACCTGCTACCAGAGCAGAGATGATGGGAAGTCCAGCCAAAGTAAGCAGGCACATCATAATGCGTGAGAGTCGAGTTACTGCTGTGCTACCAGCCATTGCACAGCTGGCCCACCACGCTTTGCCTCCACTTCACCAGGCCTAAAAACTTGCTCTTATGGCCCTTCGAACTGATATCTTGTCAGGCCTGGCATACGTGACAGGTAGAGCTTACAAAACTAATTACATCTGTCCAACTAAATGGATCCCTGTCATGTCCATTTTCTATATAAAGAATAATTTTTCAAGCATCTCATCAAGGACTTGGTCACGTTAACTCTCAACAAGGACTTTTTCTATTTGAGTTCACTGCCACAAAGTATGCACACACAGTTCCAAATATCCTACTCAAATTGGCATTCATGTAGGATACCGTTATTGAGCACTAACACACCTGAAGTGAATACGTTTCAGTATTTCAACATAACACCTGAAAATAGAAGAATAAATATGACAATGATGAAAAATACAAGGTTTAAAACCCAGATATAATACCAGTATTAAGATAGGCAATGTGCCAAATGAATAAGACTTATAAATAAAAAATCAAATAGAAATACTGCAGATATGAAGGCCTGAGGCACAAAATCCCATTTTACGAATAAGGAGAGAAACAAACAAGTAACCTATGAGACATGTTACTGACAGGCAACCCCTGGTCAGAGTCTGTCAGTGTCATGAAAGTAAACAATGTTTGACAGTAAGGGGGCATTACCCTGATGAATCTGCAAATCCATTGTTTGTCTCAGGGACCAATGAAGAGACTTGCTGGAACCTAAACTCTACAGAGCATTCATTCAACCATATGCGTGATTAAACCTCAATGCCTCAGTTCTCTGTTGGTTTTAGGACAGCTCTCAAAGGAGGATGGAGGGAATCTAAGGCATTTGTTTGTTGCCTTATAAGCATTCTTCTGTTTCTCTTTTAATATTTTGCAGTGTCTTGTATGCCTACATCCATACCCATTTCATCAGTAACTTATACAGAATACAGTACAATATTAGCATGAAGTACCCATACCCGATATACAGTATATAAATATAAATATATATATATATATATATATATATATATATATATATATATATATATATATATATATATATATATATATATATATATATATATAGAAATATATATATATAGAAATATATATATATGTCATGTAGATCCACAATGAAAACGTGGATAAGATAAATCTTGATAAAATCACACGGGAAAAGGGAAACAATGGAGCACCTTAGCTTTCGTCTTTATTCAAGACATGTTCAGAGGCAACTGGAATACATGGACAGAGAGAGGCTTAAATATACAGGGTGACCTTAAAAACATGAGGTCAGGTCATAATGATGTCATCAACTAATCCCCACACCAACACACACGTAGAGGAGCTTAAGAGAAGGGGGGTGACGTGACTAGTCAGGTCAGGTAAAAAATAAGGGACCCACTAAATAACTATCATACATCTAGATCAAAGGTTTTCAAAGCATTTTTAACCTTGGGCCACTGACAAATATATTTATGTAACATATTATCAGTTTTGAACTGACCATCACAAAGTTTTATTGATTTTAATTCCTTAATCAAACTAGCTTCAACCAGAAGTCTTTCTGTGACACAAGATGATTTAAATACTTCTAAGCTTTTTTCCCAATCAATGGGATGATTATTATTCCTAACATGAACGAACAAGGCACCTACAGTGATTTACTTGCATATATATATATATATATATATATATATATATATATATATATATATATATATATATATATATGCAAGTAAATCACTGTAGGTGCGCGTGATCTAGGTATATGCTGATAACCACAAGGAAAGAAGTAATATTTTACCACCTTCAGCAGTCTGGTTTAGATATGTTGATGATGTATTATGTCTCTGGCCATGTAATGAGGACCTAAAAGCTTTCCTGCCACAACTTAACAACTTAGCCCCCTCGATCAAATTCACTATGGAATTAGAGCAAGACTGTAAATTGCCATTCCTAGACTGTCTGATACACAGAATAGGTAACACTTTTAAGTTCAGTATTTATAGAAAACCTACTAATGTGTGTTCATACATTCATTATTATTCTGCCCACCATAATAGAGTCAAACAGTCAGTATTTTCAACAATGTTTTTACGTGCTTTGAGAATTTGCAGCCCGGAATTCATTGATGAGGAATATAAATATATCTATAATATTGGCTCAAACCTTAAATACCCTAGATCTTTCATAGACAAATGCCTGAACATTACTAAGAAATCTTTTTATAGAACTGATCCCAAGCCCACCCATGACCATAAGAATCTCTTAGTATTACCATTTCACAAAAAATTTCTCTCAAATTCCTTTACAACTAAAAACCTGGAACGTCAATGTGGCATTTAAAAACTCATGCACTGTTAAACAAATGTTAATCAAGCACTCCCCCAACAACACAATTGGTTGCATTTATAAAGTTCCTTGCAAGGAATGTAATATGTTTTATTTAGGCCAGACAGGTAAAGATCTTGTAACTAGACTTAAACAACATAAATATAGTGTTAGGAAATGCCAGGAATCCAATGCTCTGTTTGTTCATTTGAGGGATAATAAGCATTGCATTGACTGGGATAATGCCTCCTCAATATTAGCTTGTAATTCAATTGACAGTAGGAACATTATAGAATCTAGTCTCATTAAACATAACGAAGCAGTCAACATGAATTTGAGTAATGGCATGTACAAACTGGGCAATTGTGTAATTAAGAAGATTTGTAACCAGGTGAGAAGGTTGGGTCACCTTACCCTCTGACCTGACTACTGACCATCGCGGTGCTTTTTAAAGATTAGTAGGGTCATTACCTAATACCTGACCATTGTGGACCTGATCTCACCCTCCTCTGTATATATACAGCTTGTTTTGTACTTCTCCTTAGTGAGTACTCACCCCTGAATGTCAATTACACGAAAGCGCTTGGGAACTTCGTGTTTTCTTCTTTCCTTGTGGTTATCAGCATATACCTGGATCACGCGCAACTACAGTGATATACTTTCATATATATATATATATATATATATATATATATATATATATATATATATATATATATATATATATATATATATATATATATATATATATATATATATTTCATTAGCCCAATAAAGCACGCGGACTTCTACATACAATCAACACCTCAACCCGCCAGGATTCGCACCCACGGCCCACAAGCCTATGACTGTGACCGGGGAACGCTAACCGCTGGACCACCAGGATACTAAAAGCAGTCCTAAACTTTGTTATATTTCACACAAAGCCTGTTCAACGAGCTTATGGCGCCGTGAACCTCTAATGGGGAAAACCCGTATCACTGGCGGGTTGAGGTGTTGATTGTATGTAGAAGTCCGCGTGCTTTATTGGGCTAATGAAATATATATGGATCCTCGTGTTTCGAAGCCGGATTTGGTAAAACGTTACTCTGACCACCTAAGTGATACGGGTGGTCCCCATTAGACGTTCACGGCGCCATAAGCTCGTTGAACAGGCTTTGTGTGAAATATAACAAAGTCTAGGACTGCTTTTAGTATCCTGGTGGTCCAGCGGTTAGCGTTCCCCGGTCACAGTCATAGGCTTGTGGGCCGTGGGTTCGAATCCTGGCGGGTTGAGGTGTTGATTGTATATATATATATATATATATATATATATATATATATATATACTAGCGGAATCGCTGCCCTCCGGGCGGCTCTTACGGTAGGATGCCACCCTCCGGGAGGATCCACATTGTCTCACTGTAGTGCATTAAGGTGTCTGCTTTGATCCTGACTTTGTACTCGTCAGAAGGCATGTTTTCCAGGGCATTTTTAAATAACTATACATACGTGTTGCGCTCATGCAGCATTTCTTGGATAGATAGGACAATGTCATGTCTGACACCTTGAATGTTACCACACCTGATAGTAGTCTGCTTTTCATGATCTCCCATGAAGTAGATTTCGAGGAACTTTGCCTGCTCATCTTCCAGTGGTAAGAGGGATCCTGCTTTGTGATAGACTTGACCCTGGACTTTGAATGTGGGCATGTATCCGTGCTCACGAACTACTCTGGTAGCTCCAAAGGATGTCATCTGGAAGCATGAATTGTACTTACGTATATTTTCCAAGAAGTGTTTTGACTCTGGTGTTGTTCCTAGCATGAGAGTCTTCAATGGTTGTGGTGGTTTTTCCAAATTTGGCTGTCGTACTTTCCCATGAGAGCAGCACAGTCCAGCAGATTCTCCTTTGTACTTCTTTGCACCGCAGTATTCACATTTCTTATCCATGTTGCCAATGACAACAAAGGGATACTTTTCATATTCTATATATAACATCATCCATCATCACCACTACATATAACACCACCCATCATCACTACATATAACATCATCCATCATTACTACATATAACACCATCCATTATCACTACATACAACAGCACCCATCCTCACTACATATAACAGCATCCATCATCACTACATATAACATCATCCATCATCACTACATATAACACCATCCATCATCACAACATAAAACACCATCCATCATCACTACATATAATACCATCCATCATCACTACAGATCGGTAGAGTAGGACGCCACCCTCCGGGAGGCTCCACATTGTCTCACTGTAGTGCATTAGGGTAGACCACATTTTTGGTTTTGCCATTAGGACCAAGTGCGTACAGATTTTTGCCAGTTCCCACTCTGGAGCATCCAACATAGAACTGTCCATGAGAGAAGCAAGGAACAGTTTAGGCTAACCACACAGTGGTCAGCCAAACACCGTCTCGGGTACAAAGAAATTAACTTGCAGCAAATGCACACTAAAGTAAATTTCATATATATATATATATATATATATATATATATATATATATATATATATATATATATATATATATATATATATATATATATATATATATATATATATATATATATATATATATATATATATATATATATATATATATATATATATATATATATATATATATATATATATATATATATATATATATATATATATATATATATATATATATATATATATATATATATATATATATATATATATATATATATATATATATATATATATATATATATATATATATATATATATATATATATATATATATGTAATATTCAGAAATTTCAGAGTAATTTCAAACACAGCGCAATTGGCAATACTGAGCTTTCAAGGTCGTCGGAGGGAAGAGAGCGCTCCCTGCACATAGCGAGAGGTTGTGGAACTAGGCCTAAGTGATATTAAATGTAATTTGCCGAATTAATAATGATGTGATTCATGAAGTTAAGGGACTATTATTGAATTTGAAATTATTATAGATCGTTTATCAGTCTGAATAATGTTACGGGTGTCCCAAGGAGTTGTTAGTTAGGCGGAAAATATGTCACGTAGGCCTAAGCT